AATTTCCCTATACAATTTATGTCCTAGTTACACATAATCATAAAAAGACGTACTTGGTTCAATACTTTCATTTGATTTTTTTTAACTTCGTTTTCGTTGAACGATGCCTAATCCTGAATTTCTCCCAACAGGTCATAAAGCTCAAAATCTCTGAATTTGCTTTACAGCTTGATATTAATCTTATTTTGTTGTTGTTTGGCCTCAAAGCCTTTTGCATTCTTTATTAGGAAAAGGTTTTTTCTTCTTTTTTAAAAATAAATGTTGTACTACCAAGATTTTTATATTTTTTCAAGATAACAAAATTAATTCTTTACTCTCCTCTTCCATATTCCCTGGCGTTTCCCTTAAAATTTTATTTTAATTTTTCTTTTTGTATACACTCAATTAAATTACTTGTTCTCTATGATATGGTTAACTTTGGAAACTTTAAAATAGTTTGGCTTAGTTTGATTATCAAATATATATATATATAATTTTGTGATATTTTACATTTATATGTGTAATCTTCCTTTTTTTTCAGGAGGCCAAAAAGCATTCTTTGTAAATTTTTATTGTTACATTGAATTACTTGTTATATAATTAAAGATAGATTGGTATCTGAATTGTCTTTATTACTATTCAGTTATTCATTCTTTTTTATCACAGTTAAGATACTATAAATTCTCAAAAAACAAACAAAAAAACTACAAAAATAAAGATAAGAAAAATAATATAAATCAGCAGAGATACAATATCTAATTATCGGGTTTGACATGCGTTTGAAATCCATTTTATCAAGTTTGCTATTATTAGCTGCGATTCTTGTACCAGTACTGGCGGATACGACAATATATTACAGTACTTATTGGACTGGTACCTTTGCTTATACATATTCTGCATCATACTCAACAACAACAAATCTTATTATCTTTGTCACTACAACGACATATTATTACATATACACGCCTAGGGGTACGACATCAACGTCAATACTTACATTTGTTAATGGAATCAGTACCTCTTCACTCGCAACCAGATCTTCAACCACACTAGGTGTTGCTAATGGGTATCAGACAGTTGTATATGTTACTATTACTTATTATCCAATTTTTAACACTGCAATTACTACATCATCGAGAGCAACACAATATGTTGGAGCTGCAGCAACTACTTATAGCACAATTTCAACTTATACCTTAGGGACAGATGGATATTATACCACTCTTTACATTTATCAAGTTGCGATACCAAATAATTTTTACTTATCAACTACTACTTCGATCTGGAGAGAGACTTATATGACAACGAGCGCCTCGTTAATTACTACAAAGGGAAGTGATGGTACTGATACGGTTGGAACCGTTTATTATGTCTATACTACTAGATCTCCTGGTATATCTATCACAAGTGTTTGGACAGGAACATATACCACATTTTATTCTACTAGTGTATCATATAGTACAGAATTTCATTTAATCTTGGGAAATACTACTTATACCACTACGTATTATTTTATCGCCATTCCGCGTAATTATTCCACTTCTAGAAGCACTGGGGGTTATAATGGATCGATAACTTCGACTACATCTACCTCAGTATTCGTATTTACAGGAAAAGATGGAAATGTAACAACAGAAACCATCTACTATGTGGCAACCCCATATCGTCGTTCAACAACCACGATATCAGTTACGAGTAACTTCAATGCTGCTTCAACTTCAACGTATTCTACTATATATAATACTGTGACAGATGTTAACGGTAATGAAACTACTCAAACAACATATTATGTTGCTATTCCAACCAATTTTTTAAAGACAACAACCACTGAAGGTTGGACTGGTAATTATTTAACGACACATGCTACATCCAAAACCGTAACAACAGGTTCAGACGGCATTTTGACTACTGGTACTATTTACTATGTTTGGACTACTAGAAACCCTGGTGTAGGAATTACATCACCATGGACAGGTTCATACACAACGTATTATTCTACTTCTGTGTCATATAGCACTGTCTATTTATTTTTTATCCCAATTAGCACTTTGACTACAACCTTCTACTATATCCATATACCAATTTATTTGTCGACTACTAGAGCCACTTACCCTGGAAGTTTCTCTTTTACTACGACATATTCTACAATAATTGTTTCGTATTTTGGAGAGGACGGCAATGTGACTACAGAATTCATATATTTAATTTATACTCCAACTTATCGTTCTACCATCACCTTTACAACTAGAGGTGGAGCTGGTACAGTGTCTAATACATATGGTACATTATTTCAAACTGTTACAAACGCTCAAGGTATTGAAACCACTGAAACAACATATTATGTTGCCATTCCTGACGCCTTATTCTATACGACTACAACAGCTCCATGGAGTGGATATTACACGTTAACTTATTCGGAAGGTTTTACAACAATTGTTGGCAATGACAAATATTCAACTATTAAAACAATCTTTTACGTAGAAACACCTTTCCCGTGGGGTTATTATGTAGTTACGCCTTGGACTGGGTCTTATACAACTTATAATCAAAGTGGTTACACATTGGCATTTGGTTTCTTCTTAATTTTCTTTGGTTTATGGGTATACCCGTTATATTATTTATCTACACCAATAAGATCGACACAGTTCACTAGTTTAACAAGTGCATGGGATAATAAATATATCTCTCAATCAGTAAGGACAACAACTGTTGTAGGTTATGATGGGGAGTCTACCACTGAAACAATTTATTACATTTTTACCCCTGCTAAAAGCTTTACTAGTACACGATATATACAAGGTAGTTTTACGGGTACTTCAAGATCAACAATATCTACAGTTACCGTAAAAACAGGTGGAATTTACAATTATCAATGGGAAGTGATTTACTATGTATTATTACCTGTCAATGCGGCTCAGTCTACAACTTTAGTTTCTTGGACTGGTTCATATGTCACAACTAGTAGAATATTCACTACCACTTCAACAGGTAATGATGGTATTATTTCAACGATTACTGTGTACGTTGTCGAAACTCCTTCAATACCACCCCAGACTACTTTCATTCCATGGACCGGATCTTATACCTCAACTATTTCCACAAGTGTTTATACAACTTTAGATTATATTGATGACCTCTTAGCTTTGTGGACCTTATCTGTATATGTAGTTGAGACACCAATTAGAAAATCCACATCATACCAATATACATATTGGACTGGGTCATTTTCATCCACTTATTCCACAGAAATAATTACTGAAGTTGACTATTTAGGAAATGAAACAACAGAGACAATATATTATATAATGACTCCTCCAAGAAAGATGACAAGCACTCAATATTTCCCATTATCCGGAAGTTCTATTACCACCACAGTTTCTACAATTATATCTACACTAATAGGTACTGATGGATTTGAAACCACAGAAACCATATATTATGTTGCTGTTCCTACAGAAGTTGGTGTAACAACAGTTTTTACTTCTTGGACAGGAACATTTATTAGTTTATTCTCAACCTCCATATCGAATGGGTTACTATCTTCTCTCACAATTTACTTTATAGAGACTCCAATCGATACAGGTGAAATATCATATGTTCCATGGGGTGGTGACTATACTTCTACATTTTTGACGACTATAATTACAAGTTATGGATATTCAAGTACATTTTTTGGTGCATGGACACGTACTATTTATTTGGTTGAAACACCAACTCATGTAACTACTGTTACTAAACATACTCCGTGGAAAGAAACCGAAACCGAAACATATTCGACATATATGACTACGGTAACTGGTTTAGACGGAATATTAACTACTGAGCTTGTTTATCTTGTTTTTACTCCTTATCGTGTGACAACAAGTTCTTTGATTACTGCATGGCAGAATTCCCAAACCTCAACATATTCAACATCAGAAATAATTTCAGTTGGAAGTGATGGTTTGGAAACTACTACAATTGTGTACATTATAGGGACACCTCAACATGTTTTAACTTCGACATCATTCATGGGATGGAACAGTGCTGACACCTCTACATTTTCAACCCTGATTACTACATATCTAAATAGTGATGGATTTGACATTACAGAAACGATCTATTACGTTAATAGTCCTTTACGTTATTATACTAGTACGTCATATACCGCTAGAGATGTGTTATTTACGTCGACATTCTCCACATTAATAACCACGGTAACTAATTCCATTGGTGAAGAAATTACCGAAACTGTTTATTTTGTCGAAAAACCTAAAAGGGATACCACTTCCACAAGTTATTCGCACTGGATGGATTTACGTACAGAAACATATTCAACCCTAGTTACAACAATTAGAGATAATGATGGTAATGAAACAACAGAAACAGTCTATTTTGTTTATACACCTGTACGTGCCACAACTTCATTTGTATTCAGTCCTGGTGCTCTTCAAAGTTCTACATATTCAACTTTAATTAGAACTCTTACTGGTGATGATGGGATGGAGACAACTGAAACAGTTTATTATGTTAGTACACCTATCAGAAAATCAACTGTAACTTCTATTTCCAATTGGTCTATGAGATCAGTTTCAACAGTTTCAACAGTTATTACGACTATCACTGACAGTTTCGGCATTGAAATTACAGAGACAATATATTACGTCAATTCCCCTGATTTTAGATTAACTTCAACTGTATTCTACCAAGGTTCTGATACATTTGCTAGTACCTATTTAACGTTAACCACCACCCATGTTGATAGCGATGGATTTTCTACAATAGAAACCATTTTTTATGTCGTGACACCACCAAAAAGTAGTGTTACCACTTCTTATACGTACTGGACTGGGTCATTTAGTTCCACAATTTCAACAATTTTTTCTACCTATATTGATAATTCCAGTAATGTGGCTACACAAACTATATTTGTAGTCGAAACTCCATGGCATATTAGTAGCAGTACTACATTTAAAGAATGGAACGGCGTAGGGACTTCAACGTATTCAACATTAACTATTATTAGTACAGATTCTTCGGGAATCGAGACTACTGATATCATTTACTTTGTCTACAAGACTTATACCCACTCCAGTGTCACGTCATATACTGCTGTAACTGATTCTACTACATTTACATTATCTACCATTGTAAGTACATTAACTGATGACGATGGTAGTGAGACAATAGAAACAATTTATATTATTGCCACACCGATGAGAACCACTATCTCAATAAGCTATTCTTTTGGAACTGACAGTTCAACAATAACTTTATCAACTAGTTTTGTAACCTTTACAGGTTCTGATGGAAATGAGACAACTGAAATAATTTATTTCGTAAGAACTCCTATACGTGGAACCACTTCTACCGCAATAGTAGCAGCTCCTTTATCGTTTACTTCAACGTATTCTACATTTATCGCAACTATCTCTGGCCAAGACGGAGAGGAAACTACTCAAACAATTTATTTTGTTCTAACTCCTAAAAGAGGCTATGAAACTACCAGCTACGAGGAAAGATCAGTTTTCAATGAAATTACTGCCTCTACTATTACTACAATATTTACTGGCTCTGATGGATATGAGACAACAGCGACGCTATACATCGTCTATACTCCATTCCCTATATCGTCACAACATTTATTGAGCTCATCTGGTCTTTCAGAAGCTACCATTTCATTTATCACAAATAGTTCAATTGTAGTTTCAAGCACCTCAAGTGAACTCAACAATTCAATTTCTGAGGGTGCCACAAATGTTGATTCCAGTAATCTATTATCAACATCGGACGAATATACAGATACCACATCATCATCATACCAAAATGCAATATCACAAAATAACACTGATCACACAACTGATCTTATTTCCTCGGAAGAATCACATCAAACATTATCAAATGCTACACATCCAGTTGAGCACACCTCCAGATCATCTGAGGAATCATTGGAAGTATCCACTTTCACTACCACAGATTCTGAGGGTAATGTATCCACAGGTACCACTACTTACCCAGTTGAGCACACCTCCAGATCATCTGAGGAATCATTGGAAGTATCCACTTTCACTACCACAGATTCTGAGGGTAATGTGTCCACTGGCACCACTACTTACCCAGTTGAGCACACCTCCAGATCATCTGAGGAATCATTGGAAGTATCCACTTTCACTACCACAGATTCTGAGGGTAATGTGTCCACAGGTACCACTACTTACCCAGTTGAGCACACCTCCAGATCATCTGAGGAATCATTGGAAGTATCCACTTTCACTACCACATATTCTGAGGGTAATGTGTCCACTGGCACCACTACTTACCCAGTTGAACACACCTCTAGATCTTCTGAGGAATCATTGGAAGTTTCCACTTTCACCACTACAGACTCTGAAGGTAACGTTTCCACCGGTACCACTACTTACCCAGTTGAACACACCTCCAGATCTTCTGAGGAATCGTTAGAAGTTTCCACTTTCACCACTACAGACTCTGAAGGTAACGTTTCCACCGGTACCATCACTTACCCAGTTGAACACACCTCCAGATCATCTGAGGAATCATTGGAAGTATCCACTTTCACTACCACAGATTCTGAGGGTAATGTGTCCACAGGTACCACTACTTACCCAGTTGAGCACACCTCCAGATCATCTGAGGAATCATTGGAAGTATCCACTTTCACTACCACAGATTCTGAGGGTAATGTGTCCACAGGTACCACTACTTACCCAGTTGAGCACACCTCCAGATCATCTGAGGAATCATTGGAAGTATCCACTTTCACTACCACTGATTCTGAAGGTAATGTGTCCACTGGCACCACTACTTACCCAGTTGAGCACACCTCCAGATCATCTGAGGAATCATTGGAAGTATCCACTTTCACTACCACAGATTCTGAGGGTAATGTGTCCACTGGCACCACTACTTACCCAGTTGAGCACACCTCCAGATCATCTGAGGAATCATTGGAAGTATCCACTTTCACTACCACAGATTCTGAGGGTAATGTATCCACTGGCACCACTACTTACCCAGTTGAGCACACCTCCAGATCATCTGAGGAATCATTGGAAGTATCCACTTTCACTACCACAGATTCTGAGGGTAATGTGTCCACTGGCACCACTACTTACCCAGTTGAGCACACCTCCAGATCATCTGAGGAATCATTGGAAGTATCCACTTTCACTACCACAGATTCTGAGGGTAATGTGTCCACTGGCACCACTACTTACCCAGTTGAGCACACCTCCAGATCATCTGAGGAATCATTGGAAGTATCCACTTTCACTACCACAGATTCTGAGGGTAATGTGTCCACAGGTACCACTACTTACCCAGTTGAGCACACCTCCAGATCATCTGAGGAATCATTGGAAGTATCCACTTTCACTACCACAGATTCTGAGGGTAATGTGTCCACTGGCACCACTACTTACCCAGTTGAGCACACTTCCAGATCATCTGAGGAATCATTGGAAGTATCCACTTTCACTACCACAGATTCTGAGGGTAATGTGTCCACAGGTACCACTACTTACCCAGTTGAGCACACCTCCAGATCATCTGAGGAATCATTGGAAGTATCCACTTTCACTACCACAGATTCTGAGGGTAATGTGTCCACAGGTACCACTACTTACCCAGTTGAGCACACCTCCAGATCATCTGAGGAATCATTGGAAGTATCCACTTTCACTACCACAGATTCTGAGGGTAATGTGTCCACAGGTACCACTACTTACCCAGTTGAGCACACCTCCAGATCATCTGAGGAATCATTGGAAGTATCCACTTTCACTACCACTGATTCTGAAGGTAATGTATCCACTGGCACCACTACTTACCCGGTTGAGCACACCTCCAGATCATCTGAGGAATCATTGGAAGTATCCACTTTCACTACCACAGATTCTGAGGGTAATGTGTCCACTGGCACCACTACTTACCCAGTTGAGCACACCTCCAGATCATCTGAGGAATCATTGGAAGTATCCACTTTCACTACCACAGATTCTGAGGGTAATGTGTCCACAGGTACCACTACTTACCCAGTTGAGCACACCTCCAGATCATCTGAGGAATCATTGGAAGTATCCACTTTCACTACCACAGATTCTGAGGGTAATGTGTCCACTGGCACCACTACTTACCCAGTTGAACACACCTCCAGATCATCTGAGGGATCATTGGAAGTATCCACTTTCACTACCACAGATTCTGAGGGTAATGTGTCCACAGGTACCACTACTTACCCAGTTGAGCACACCTCCAGATCATCTGAGGAATCATTGGAAGTATCCACTTTCACTACCACAGATTCTGAAGGTAATGTGTCCACTGGCACCACTACTTACCCAGTTGAGCACACTTTCAGATCATCTGAGGAATCATTGGAAGTATCCACTTTCACTACCACAGATTCTGAGGGTAATGTGTCCACAGGTACCACTACTTACCCAGTTGAGCACACCTCCAGATCATCTGAGGAATCATTGGAAGTATCCACTTTCACTACCACAGATTCTGAGGGTAATGTGTCCACAGGTACCACTACTTACCCAGTTGAGCACACCTCCAGATCATCTGAGGAATCATTGGAAGTATCCACTTTCACTACCACTGATTCTGAGGGTAATGTGTCCACAGGTACCACTACTTACCCAGTTGAGCACACCTCCAGATCATCTGAGGAATCATTGGAAGTATCCACTTTCACTACCACAGATTCTGAGGGTAATGTGTCCACAGGTACCACTACTTACCCAGTTGAGCACACCTCCAGATCATCTGAGGAATCATTGGAAGTATCCACTTTCACTACCACTGATTCTGAAGGTAATGTGTCCACTGGCACCACTACTTACCCAGTTGAGCACACCTCCAGATCATCTGAGGAATCATTGGAAGTATCCACTTTCACTACCACAGATTCTGAGGGTAATGTGTCCACTGGCACCACTACTTACCCAGTTGAGCACACCTCCAGATCATCTGAGGAATCATTGGAAGTATCCACTTTCACTACCACAGATTCTGAGGGTAATGTGTCCACTGGCACCACTACTTACCCAGTTGAACACACCTCCAGATCATCTGAGGAATCATTGGAAGTATCCACTTTCACTACCACAGATTCTGAGGGTAATGTGTCCACAGGTACCACTACTTACCCAGTTGAGCACACCTCCAGATCATCTGAGGAATCATTGGAAGTATCCACTTTCACTACCACAGATTCTGAAGGTAATGTGTCCACTGGCACCACTACTTACCCAGTTGAGCACACTTTCAGATCATCTGAGGAATCATTGGAAGTATCCACTTTCACTACCACAGATTCTGAGGGTAATGTGTCCACAGGTACCACTACTTACCCAGTTGAGCACACCTCCAGATCATCTGAGGAATCATTGGAAGTATCCACTTTCACTACCACAGATTCTGAGGGTAATGTGTCCACAGGTACCACTACTTACCCAGTTGAGCACACCTCCAGATCATCTGAGGAATCATTGGAAGTATCCACTTTCACTACCACAGATTCTGAGGGTAATGTGTCCACTGGCACCACTACTTACCCAGTTGAGCACACCTCCAGATCATCTGAGGAATCATTGGAAGTATCCACTTTCACTACCACAGATTCTGAGGGTAATGTGTCCACAGGTACCACTACTTACCCAGTTGAGCACACCTCCAGATCATCTGAGGAATCATTGGAAGTATCCACTTTCACTACCACAGATTCTGAGGGTAATGTGTCCACTGGCACCACTACTTACCCAGTTGAGCACACCTCCAGATCATCTGAGGAATCATTGGAAGTATCCACTTTCACTACCACAGATTCTGAGGGTAATGTGTCCACAGGTACCACTACTTACCCAGTTGAGCACACCTCCAGATCATCTGAGGAATCATTGGAAGTATCCACTTTCACTACCACATATTCTGAGGGTAATGTGTCCACTGGCACCACTACTTACCCAGTTGAACACACCTCTAGATCTTCTGAGGAATCATTGGAAGTTTCCACTTTCACCACTACAGACTCTGAAGGTAACGTTTCCACCGGTACCACTACTTACCCAGTTGAACACACCTCCAGATCTTCTGAGGAATCGTTAGAAGTTTCCACTTTCACCACTACAGACTCTGAAGGTAACGTTTCCACCGGTACCATCACTTACCCAGTTGAACACACCTCCAGATCATCTGAGGAATCATTGGAAGTATCCACTTTCACTACCACAGATTCTGAGGGTAATGTGTCCACAGGTACCACTACTTACCCAGTTGAGCACACCTCCAGATCATCTGAGGAATCATTGGAAGTATCCACTTTCACTACCACAGATTCTGAGGGTAATGTGTCCACAGGTACCACTACTTACCCAGTTGAGCACACCTCCAGATCATCTGAGGAATCATTGGAAGTATCCACTTTCACTACCACTGATTCTGAAGGTAATGTGTCCACTGGCACCACTACTTACCCAGTTGAGCACACCTCCAGATCATCTGAGGAATCATTGGAAGTATCCACTTTCACTACCACAGATTCTGAGGGTAATGTGTCCACTGGCACCACTACTTACCCAGTTGAGCACACCTCCAGATCATCTGAGGAATCATTGGAAGTATCCACTTTCACTACCACAGATTCTGAGGGTAATGTATCCACTGGCACCACTACTTACCCAGTTGAGCACACCTCCAGATCATCTGAGGAATCATTGGAAGTATCCACTTTCACTACCACAGATTCTGAAGGTAATGTGTCCACTGGCACCACTACTTACCCAGTTGAGCACACCTCCAGATCATCTGAGGAATCATTGGAAGTATCCACTTTCACTACCACAGATTCTGAGGGTAATGTATCCACTGGCACCACTACTTACCCGGTTGAGCACACCTCCAGATCATCTGAGGAATCATTGGAAGTATCCACTTTCACTACCACAGATTCTGAGGGTAATGTGTCCACTGGCACCACTACTTACCCAGTTGAGCACACCTCCAGATCATCTGAGGAATCATTGGAAGTATCCACTTTCACTACCACAGATTCTGAGGGTAATGTGTCCACAGGTACCACTACTTACCCAGTTGAGCACACCTCCAGATCATCTGAGGAATCATTGGAAGTATCCACTTTCACTACCACAGATTCTGAGGGTAATGTGTCCACAGGTACCACTACTTACCCAGTTGAGCACACCTCCAGATCATCTGAGGAATCATTGGAAGTATCCACTTTCACTACCACAGATTCTGAGGGTAATGTGTCCACTGGCACCACTACTTACCCAGTTGAGCACACCTCCAGATCATCTGAGGAATCATTGGAAGTATCCACTTTCACTACCACAGATTCTGAGGGTAATGTATCCACTGGCACCACTACTTACCCAGTTGAGCACACCTCCAGATCATCTGAGGAATCATTGGAAGTATCCACTTTCACTACCACTGATTCTGAAGGTAATGTGTCCACTGGCACCACTACTTACCCAGTTGAGCACACCTCCAGATCATCTGAGGAATCATTGGAAGTATCCACTTTCACTACCACAGATTCTGAGGGTAATGTGTCCACTGGCACCACTACTTACCCAGTTGAGCACACCTCCAGATCATCTGAGGAATCATTGGAAGTATCCACTTTCACTACCACAGATTCTGAGGGTAATGTGTCCACAGGTACCACTACTTACCCAGTTGAGCACACCTCCAGATCATCTGAGGAATCATTGGAAGTATCCACTTTCACTACCACAGATTCTGAGGGTAATGTGTCCACAGGTACCACTACTTACCCAGTTGAGCACACCTCCAGATCATCTGAGGAATCATTGGAAGTATCCACTTTCACTACCACAGATTCTGAGGGTAATGTGTCCATTGGCACCACTACTTACCCAGTTGAGCACACCTCCAGATCATCTGAGGAATCATTGGAAGTATCCACTTTCACTACCACTGATTCTGAAGGTAATGTGTCCACTGGCACCACTACTTACCCAGTTGAGCACACCTCCAGATCATCTGAGGAATCATTGGAAGTATCCACTTTCACTACCACTGATTCTGAGGGTAATGTGTCCACAGGTACCACTACTTACCCAGTTGAGCACACCTCCAGATCATCTGAGGAATCATTGGAAGTATCCACTTTCACTACCACAGATTCTGAAGGTAATGTGTCCACTGACACTACTACTTTCCCAGTCATTTCGATTTCATCTAATATAGAAGAGTCAGGAACTTCGGTTCGAAGTATTAGTGATGAATCGGTTTTGTTTATTGATTCATCTGGTTTAGGTCCTTCTACTATTTCGGATAATGTTTTGACCAGTAAGCCTATCACAACAGCTCTTTCAACTATAGGTTATTATAATTCGTCTTCTTTAATGTCTATTTATTCGTCAATGTCAAGCTCAGAAAAATTATGCCATTCATTCCTGTCATTACAATCTAAAACTTATAACGTAAACGATGATTTAACAGAAAACTTCAAGTCAATTTCAACAAACTCCTACAATTCCGTCACATCAAACACAATAACAAAAACAAGCACTTCTTCTGGTGTTCCAGCTCCAGTCACCACCACTATTACTTCTGGCAGCCACACTGAAACCGATGTCATCTCTTACTACACCACTACCGACTCTGAAGGTGAATTAGTTACTACTTCTACCACCTACCCAGTCACTTCTTCTGGTGTTCCAGCTCCAGTCACCACCACTATCACTTCTGGTAGCCACACTGAAACCGATGTCATCTCTTACTACACCACTACCGACTCCGAAGGTGAATTAGTTACCACTTCTACCACCTACCCAGTCACTTCTTCTGGTGTTCCAGCTCCAGTCACCACCACTATTACTTCTGGCAGCCACACTGAAACCGATGTCATCTCTTACTACACCACTACCGACTCCGAAGGTGAATTAGTTACCACTTCTACCACCTACCCAGTCACTTCTTCTGGTGTTCCAGCTCCAGTCACCACCACTATCACTTCTGGCAGCCACACTGAAACCGATGTCATCTCTTACTACACCACTACCGACTCCGAAGGTGAATTAGTTACCACTTCTACCACCTACCCAGTCACTTCTTCTGGTGTTCCAGCTCCAGTCACCACCACTATCACTTCTGGCAGCCACACTGAAACCGATGTCATCTCTTACTACACCACTACCGACTCTGAAGGTGAATTAGTTACCACTTCTACCACCTACCCAGTCACTTCTTCTGGTGTTCCAGCTCCAGTCACCACCACTATCACTTCTGGCAGCCACACTGAAACCGATGTCATCTCTTACTACACCACTACCGACTCCGAAGGTGAATTAGTTACCACTTCTACCACCTACCCAGTCACTTCTTCTGGTGTTCCAGCTCCAGTCACCACCACTATCACTTCTGGCAGCCACACTGAAACCGATGTCATCTCTTACTACACCACTACCGACTCTGAAGGTGAATTAGTTACCACTTCTACCACCTACCCAGTCACTTCTTCTGGTGTTCCAGCTCCAGTCACCACCACTATCACTTCTGGCAGCCACACTGAAACCGATGTCATCTCTTACTACACCACTACCGACTCTGAAGGTGAATTAGTTACCACTTCTACCACCTACCCAGTCACTTCTTCTGGTGTTCCAGCTCCAGTCACCACCACTATCACTTCTGGCAGCCACACTGAAACCGATGTCATCTCTTACTACACCACTACCGACTCTGAAGGTGAATTAGTTACCACTTCTACCACCTACCCAGTCACTTCTTCTGGTGTTCCAGCTCCAGTCACCACCACTATCACTTCTGGCAGCCACACTGAAACCGATGTCATCTCTTACTACACCACTACCGACTCTGAAGGTGAATTAGTTACCACTTCTACCACCTACCCAGTCACTTCTTCTGGTGTTCCAGCTCCAGTCACCACCACTATCACTTCTGGCAGCCACACTGAAACCGATGTCATCTCTTACTACACCACTACCGACTCTGAAGGTGAATTAGTTACCACTTCTACCACCTACCCAGTCACTTCTTCTGGTGTTCCAGCTCCAGTCACCACCACTATTACTTCTGGCAGCCACACTGAAACCGATGTCATCTCTTACTACACCACTACCGACTCTGAAGGTGAATTAGTTACCACTTCTACCACCTACCCAGTCACTTCTTCTGGTGTTCCAGCTCCAGTCACCACCACTATCACTTCTGGCAGCCACACTGAAACCGATGTCATCTCTTACTACACCACTACCGACTCTGAAGGTGAATTAGTTACCACTTCTACCACCTACCCAGTCACTTCTTCTGGTGTTCCAGCTCCAGTCACCACCACTATCACTTCTGGTAGCCACACTGAAACCGATGTCATCTCTTACTACACCACTACCGACTCTGAAGGTGAATTAGTTACCACTTCTACCACCTACCCAGTCACTTCTTCTGGTGTTCCAGCTCCAGTCACCACCACTATCACTTCTGGCAGCCACACTGAAACCGATGTCATCTCTTACTACACCACTACCGACTCTGAAGGTGAATTAGTTACCACTTCTACCACCTACCCAGTCACTTCTTCTGGTGTTCCAGCTCCAGTCACCACCACTATCACTTCTGGTAGCCACACTGAAACCGATGTCATCTCTTACTACACCACTACCGACTCCGAAGGTGAATTAGTTACCACTTCTACCACCTACCCAGTCACTTCTTCTGGTGTTCCAGCTCCAGTCACCACCACTATCACTTCTGGCAGCCACACTGAAACCGATGTCATCTCTTACTACACCACTACCGACTCTGAAGGTGAATTAGTTACCACTTCTACCACCTACCCAGTCACTTCTTCTGGTGTTCCAGCTCCAGTCACCACCACTATCACTTCTGGTAGCCACACTGAAACCGATGTCATCTCTTACTACACCACTACCGACTCCGAAGGTGAATTAGTTACCACTTCTACCACCTACCCAGTCACTTCTTCTGGTGTTCCAGCTCCAGTCACCACCACTATCACTTCTGGCAGCCACACTGAAACCGATGTCATCTCTTACTACACCACTACCGACTCTGAAGGTGAATTAGTTACCACTTCTACCACCTACCCAGTCACTTCTTCTGGTGTTCCAGCTCCAGTCACCACCACTATCACTTCTGGTAGCCACACTGAAACCGATGTCATCTCTTACTACACCACTACCGACTCCGAAGGTGAATTAGTTACCACTTCTACCACCTACCCAGTCACTTCTTCTGGTGTTCCAGCTCCAGTCACCACCACTATCACTTCTGGCAGCCACACTGAAACCGATGTCATCTCTTACTACACCACTACCGACTCCGAAGGTGAATTAGTTACCACTTCTACCACCTACCCAGTCACTTCTTCTGGTGTTCCAGCTCCAGTCACCACCACTATCACTTCTGGCAGCCACACTGAAACCGATGTCATCTCTTACTACACCACTACCGACTCTGAAGGTGAATTAGTTACCACTTCTACCACCTACCCAGTCACTTCTTCTGGTGTTCCAGCTCCAGTCACCACCACTATCACTTCTGGCAGCCACACTGAAACCGATGTCATCTCTTACTACACCACTACCGACTCCGAAGGTGAATTAGTTACCACTTCTACCACCTACCCAGTCACTTCTTCTGGTGTTCCAGCTCCAGTCACCACCACTATCACTTCTGGCAGCCACACTGAAACCGATGTCATCTCTTACTACACCACTACCGACTCCGAAGGTGAATTAGTTACCACTTCTACCACCTACCCAGTCACTTCTTCTGGTGTTCCAGCTCCAGTCACCACCACTATCACTTCTGGCAGCCACACTGAAACCGATGTCATCTCTTACTACACCACTACCGACTCCGAAGGTGAATTAGTTACCACTTCTACCACCTACCCAGTCACTTCTTCTGGTGTTCCAGCTCCAGTCACCACCACTATCACTTCTGGCAGCCACACTGAAACCGATGTCATCTCTTACTACACCACTACCGACTCTGAAGGTGAATTAGTTACCACTTCTACCACCTACCCAGTCACTTCTTCTGGTGTTCCAGCTCCAGTCACCACCACTATCACTTCTGGCAGCCACACTGAAACCGATGTCATCTCTTACTACACCACTACCGACTCCGAAGGTGAATTAGTTACCACTTCTACCACCTACCCAGTCACTTCTTCTGGTGTTCCAGCTCCAGTCACCACCACTATCACTTCTGGCAGCCACACTGAAACCGATGTCATCTCTTACTACACCACTACCGACTCTGAAGGTGAATTAGTTACCACTTCTACCACCTACCCAGTCACTTCTTCTGGTGTTCCAGCTCCAGTCACCACCACTATTACTTCTGGCAGCCACACTGAAACCGATGTCATCTCTTACTACACCACTACCGACTCTGAAGGTGAATTAGTTACCACTTCTACCACCTACCCAGTCACCTCTTCTGGTGTTCCAGCTCCAGTCACTACAGTTGTATCCTCTGGTAGCCACACCGAAACCGATGTCATCTCTTTCTACACCACTACCGACTCTGAAGGTGAAGTCGTTACCACTTCTACCACCTACCCAGTCACCTCTTCTGGTGTTCCAGCTCCAGTCACTACTGTTGTATCCTCTGGTAGCCACACCGAAACTGATGTCATCTCTTTCTACACCACTACCGACTCTGAAGGTGAAGTCGTTACCACTTCTACCACCTACCCAGTCACCTCTTCTGGTGTTCCAGCTCCAGTCACTACTGTCGTATCCTCTGGTAGCCACACCGAAACCGATGTCATCTCTTTCTACACCACTACCGACTCTGAAGGTGAAGTCGTTACCACTTCTACCACCTACCCAGTCACCTCTTCTGGTGTTCCAGCTCCAGTCACTACAGTTGTATCCTCTGGTAGCCACACCGAAACCGATGTCATCTCTTTCTACACCACTACCGACTCTGAAGGTGAAGTCGTTACCACTTCTACCACCTACCCAGTCACCTCATCAGGTGTTCCAGCTCCAGTCACTACTGTTGTATCCTCTGGTAGCCACACCGAAACTGATGTCATCTCTTTCTACACCACTACCGACTCTGAAGGTGAAGTCGTTACCACTTCTACCACCTACCCAGTCACCTCTTCTGGTGTTCCAGCTCCAGTCACTACTGTTGTATCCTCTGGTAGCCACACCGAAACCGATGTCATCTCTTTCTACACCACTACCGACTCTGAAGGTGAAGTCGTTACCACTTCTACCACCTACCCAGTCACCTCTTCTGGTGTTCCAGCTCCAGTCACTACTGTTGTATCCTCTGGTAGCCACACCGAAACCGACGTCATCTCTTTCTACACCACTACCGACTCTGAAGGTGAAGTCGTTACCACTTCTACCACCTACCCAGTCACCTCATCAGGTGTTCCAGCTCCAGTCACTACTGTTGTATCCTCTGGTAGCCACACCGAAACCGATGTCATCTCTTTCTACACCACTACCGACTCTGAAGGTGAAGTCGTTACCACTTCTACCACCTACCCAGTCACCTCATCAGGTGTTCCAGCTCCAGTCACTACTGTTGTATCCTCTGGTAGCCACACCGAAACCGACGTCATCTCTTTCTACACCACTACCGACTCTGAAGGTGAAGTCGTTACCACTTCTACCACCTACCCAGTCACCTCATCAGGTGTTCCAGCTCCAGTCACTACTGTTGTATCCTCTGGTAGCCACACCGAAACCGATGTCATCTCTTTCTACACCACTACCGACTCTGAAGGTGAAGTCGTTACCACTTCTACCACCTACCCAGTCACCTCATCAGGTGTTCCAGCTCCAGTCACTACTGTTGTATCCTCTGGTAGCCACACCGAAACCGATGTCATCTCTTTCTACACCACTACCGACTCTGAAGGTGAAGTCGTTACCACTTCTACCACCTACCCAGTCACCTCTTCTGGTGTTCCAGCTCCAGTCACTACTGTTGTATCCTCTGGTAGCCACACCGAAACCGATGTCATCTCTTTCTACACCACTACCGACTCTGAAGGTGAAGTCGTTACCACTTCTACCACCTACCCAGTCACCTCATCAGGTGTTCCAGCTCCAGTCACTACTGTTGTATCCTCTGGTAGCCACACCGAAACCGATGTCATCTCTTTCTACACCACTACCGACTCTGAAGGTGAAGTCGTTACCACTTCTACCACCTACCCAGTCACCTCATCAGGTGTTCCAGCTCCAGTCACTACTGTTGTATCCTCTGGTAGCCACACCGAAACCGATGTCATCTCTTTCTACACCACTACCGACTCTGAAGGTGAAGTCGTTACCACTTCTACCACCTACCCAGTCACCTCTTCTGGTGTTCCAGCTCCAGTCACTACTGTTGTATCCTCTGGTAGCCACACCGAAACCGATGTCATCTCTTTCTACACCACTACCGACTCTGAAGGTGAAGTCGTTACCACTTCTACCACCTACCCAGTCACCTCATCAGGTGTTCCAGCTCCAGTCACTACTGTTGTATCCTCTGGTAGCCACACCGAAACCGATGTCATCTCTTTCTACACCACTACCGACTCTGAAGGTGAAGTCGTTACCACTTCTACCACCTACCCAGTCACCTCTTCTGGTGTTCCAGCTCCAGTCACTACTGTTGTATCCTCTGGTAGCCACACCGAAACCGATGTCATCTCTTTCTACACCACTACCGACTCTGAAGGTGAAGTCGTTACCACTTCTACCACCTACCCAGTCACCTCTTCTGGTGTTCCAGCTCCAGTCACTACTGTCGTATCCTCTGGTAGCCACACCGAAACCGATGTCATCTCTTTCTACACCACTACCGACTCTGAAGGTGAAGTCGTTACCACTTCTACCACCTACCCAGTCACCTCTTCTGGTGTTCCAGCTCCAGTCACTACTGTTGTATCCTCTGGTAGCCACACCGAAACCGATGTCATCTCTTTCTACACCACTACCGACTCTGAAGGTGAAGTCGTTACCACTTCTACCACCTACCCAGTCACCTCATCAGGTGTTCCAGCTCCAGTCACTACTGTTGTATCCTCTGGTAGCCACACCGAAACTGATGTCATCTCTTTCTACACCACTACCGACTCTGAAGGTGAAGTCGTTACCACTTCTACCACCTACCCAGTCACCTCATCAGGTGTTCCAGCTCCAGTCACTACTGTTGTATCCTCTGGTAGCCACACCGAAACCGACGTCATCTCTTTCTACACCACTACCGACTCTGAAGGTGAAGTCGTTACCACTTCTACCACCTACCCAGTCACCTCATCAGGTGTTCCAGCTCCAGTCACTACTGTTGTATCCTCTGGTAGCTACACCGAAACCGACGTCATCTCTTTCTACACCACTACCGACTCTGAAGGTGAAGTCGTTACCACTTCTACCACCTACCCAGTCACCTCATCAGGTGTTCCAGCTCCAGTCACTACTGTTGTATCCTCTGGTAGCCACACCGAAACCGATGTCATCTCTTTCTACACCACTACCGACTCTGAAGGTGAAGTCGTTACCACTTCTACCACCTACCCAGTCACTTCATCACGTGTTCCAGCTCCAGTCACTACTGTTGTATCCTCTGGTAGCCACACCGAAACCGACGTCATCTCTTTCTACACCACTACCGACTCTGAAGGTGAAGTCGTTACCACTTCTACCACCTACCCAGTCACCTCATCAGGTGTTCCAGCTCCAGTCACTACTGTTGTATCCTCTGGTAGCTACACCGAAACCGACGTCATCTCTTTCTACACCACTACCGACTCTGAAGGTGAAGTCGTTACCACTTCTACCACCTACCCAGTCACCTCATCAGGTGTTCCAGCTCCAGTCACTACTGTTGTATCCTCTGGTAGCCACACCGAAACCGATGTCATCTCTTTCTACACCACTACCGACTCTGAAGGTGAAGTCGTTACCACTTCTACCACCTACCCAGTCACCTCATCAGGTGTTCCAGCTCCAGTCACTACTGTTGTATCCTCTGGTAGCCACACCGAAACCGACGTCATCTCTTTCTACACCACTACCGACTCTGAAGGTGAAGTCGTTACCACTTCTACCACCTACCCAGTCACCTCTTCTGGTGTTCCAGCTCCAGTCACTACAGTTGTATCCTCTGGTAGCCACACCGAAACCGATGTCATCTCTTTCTACACCACTACCGACTCTGAAGGTGAAGTCGTTACCACTTCTACCACCTACCCAGTCACCTCATCAGGTGTTCCAGCTCCAGTCACTACTGTTGTATCCTCTGGTAGCCACACCGAAACCGATGTCATCTCTTTCTACACCACTACCGACTCTGAAGGTGAAGTCGTTACCACTTCTACCACCTACCCAGTCACCTCATCAGGTGTTCCAGCTCCAGTCACTACTGTTGTATCCTCTGGTAGCCACACCGAAACCGATGTCATCTCTTTCTACACCACTACCGACTCTGAAGGTGAAGTCGTTACCACTTCTACCACCTACCCAGTCACCTCTTCTGGTGTTCCAGCTCCAGTCACTACTGTTGTATCCTCTGGTAGCCACACCGAAACCGACGTCATCTCTTTCTACACCACTACCGACTCTGAAGGTGAAGTCGTTACCACTTCTACCACCTACCCAGTCACCTCATCAGGTGTTCCAGCTCCAGTCACTACTGTTGTATCCTCTGGTAGCCACACCGAAACCGACGTCATCTCTTTCTACACCACTACCGACTCTGAAGGTGAAGTCGTTACCACTTCTACCACCTACCCAGTCACCTCTTCTGGTGTTCCAGCTCCAGTCACTACTGTTGTATCCTCTGGTAGCCACACCGAAACCGATGTCATCTCTTTCTACACCACTACCGACTCTGAAGGTGAAGTCGTTACCACTTCTACCACCTACCCAGTCACCTCTTCTGGTGTTCCAGCTCCAGTCACTACTGTTGTATCCTCTGGTAGCCACACCGAAACCGATGTCATCTCTTTCTACACCACTACCGACTCTGAAGGTGAAGTCGTTACCACTTCTACCACCTACCCAGTCACCTCTTCTGGTGTTCCAGCTCCAGTCACTACTGTTGTATCCTCTGGTAGCCACACCGAAACCGACGTCATCTCTTTCTACACCACTACCGACTCTGAAGGTGAAGTCGTTACCACTTCTACCACCTACCCAGTCACCTCATCAGGTGTTCCAGCTCCAGTCACTACTGTTGTATCCTCTGGTAGCCACACCGAAACCGACGTCATCTCTTTCTACACCACTACCGACTCTGAAGGTGAAGTCGTTACCACTTCTACCACCTACCCAGTCACCTCTTCTGGTGTTCCAGCTCCAGTCACTACTGTTGTATCCTCTGGTAGCCACACCGAAACCGACGTCATCTCTTTCTACACCACTACCGACTCTGAAGGTGAAGTCGTTACCACTTCTACCACCTACCCAGTCACCTCTTCTGGTGTTCCAGCTCCAGTCACTACTGTTGTATCCTCTGGTAGCCACACCGAAACCGATGTCATCTCTTTCTACACCACTACCGACTCTGAAGGTGAAGTCGTTACCACTTCTACCACCTACCCAGTCACCTCTTCTGGTGTTCCAGCTCCAGTCACTACTGTTGTATCCTCTGGTAGCCACACCGAAACCGATGTCATCTCTTTCTACACCACTACCGACTCTGAAGGTGAAGTCGTTACCACTTCTACCACCTACCCAGTCACCTCTTCTGGTGTTCCAGCTCCAGTCACTACTGTTGTATCCTCTGGTAGCCACACCGAAACCGATGTCATCTCTTTCTACACCACTACCGACTCTGAAGGTGAAGTCGTTACCACTTCTACCACCTACCCAGTCACCTCTTCTGGTGTTCCAGCTCCAGTCACTACTGTTGTATCCTCTGGTAGCCACACCGAAACCGACGTCATCTCTTTCTACACCACTACCGACTCTGAAGGTGAAGTCGTTACCACTTCTACCACCTACCCAGTCACCTCTTCTGGTGTTCCAGCTCCAGTCACTACTGTTGTATCCTCTGGTAGCCACACCGAAACCGATGTCATCTCTTTCTACACCACTACCGACTCTGAAGGTGAAGTCGTTACCACTTCTACCACCTACCCAGTCACCTCATCAGGTGTTCCAGCTCCAGTCACTACTGTTGTATCCTCTGGTAGCCACACCGAAACCGACGTCATCTCTTTCTACACCACTACCGACTCTGAAGGTGAAGTCGTTACCACTTCTACCACCTACCCAGTCACCTCTTCTGGTGTTCCAGCTCCAGTCACTACTGTTGTATCCTCTGGTAGCCACACCGAAACCGATGTCATCTCTTTCTACACCACTACCGACTCTGAAGGTGAAGTCGTTACCACTTCTACCACCTACCCAGTCACCTCTTCTGGTGTTCCAGCTCCAGTCACTACTGTTGTATCCTCTGGTAGCCACACCGAAACCGATGTCATCTCTTTCTACACCACTACCGACTCTGAAGGTGAAGTCGTTACCACTTCTACCACCTACCCAGTCACCTCATCAGGTGTTCCAGCTCCAGTCACTACTGTTGTATCCTCTGGTAGCCACACCGAAACCGATGTCATCTCTTTCTACACCACTACCGACTCTGAAGGTGAAGTCGTTACCACTTCTACCACCTACCCAGTCACCTCTTCTGGTGTTCCAGCTCCAGTCACTACAGTTGTATCCTCTGGTAGCCACACCGAAACCGATGTCATCTCTTTCTACACCACTACCGACTCTGAAGGTGAAGTCGTTACCACTTCTACCACCTACCCAGTCACCTCATCAGGTGTTCCAGCTCCAGTCACTACAGTTGTATCCTCTGGTAGCCACACCGAAACCGATGTCATCTCTTTCTACACCACTACCGACTCTGAAGGTGAAGTCGTTACCACTTCTACCACCTACCCAGTCACCTCATCAGGTGTTCCAGCTCCAGTCACTACTGTTGTATCCTCTGGTAGCCACACCGAAACCGATGTCATCTCTTTCTACACCACTACCGACTCTGAAGGTGAAGTCGTTACCACTTCTACCACCTACCCAGTCACCTCTTCTGGTGTTCCAGCTCCAGTCACTACTGTTGTATCCTCTGGTAGCCACACCGAAACCGATGTCATCTCTTTCTACACCACTACCGACTCTGAAGGTGAAGTCGTTACCACTTCTACCACCTACCCAGTCACCTCATCAGGTGTTCCAGCTCCAGTCACTACTGTTGTATCCTCTGGTAGCCACACCGAAACCGATGTCATCTCTTTCTACACCACTACCGACTCTGAAGGTGAAGTCGTTACCACTTCTACCACCTACCCAGTCACCTCATCAGGTGTTCCAGCTCCAGTCACTACTGTTGTATCCTCTGGTAGCCACACCGAAACCGATGTCATCTCTTTCTACACCACTACCGACTCTGAAGGTGAAGTCGTTACCACTTCTACCACCTACCCAGTCACCTCTTCTGGTGTTCCAGCTCCAGTCACTACAGTTGTATCCTCTGGTAGCCACACCGAAACCGATGTCATCTCTTTCTACACCACTACCGACTCTGAAGGTGAAGTCGTTACCACTTCTACCACCTACCCAGTCACCTCATCAGGTGTTCCAGCTCCAGTCACTACTGTTGTATCCTCTGGTAGCCACACCGAAACCGACGTCATCTCTTTCTACACCACTACCGACTCTGAAGGTGAAGTCGTTACCACTTCTACCACCTACCCAGTCACCTCTTCTGGTGTTCCAGCTCCAGTCACTACTGTTGTATCCTCTGGTAGCCACACCGAAACCGATGTCATCTCTTTCTACACCACTACCGACTCTGAAGGTGAAGTCGTTACCACTTCTACCACCTACCCAGTCACCTCTTCTGGTGTTCCAGCTCCAGTCACTACTGTTGTATCCTCTGGTAGCCACACCGAAACCGATGTCATCTCTTTCTACACCACTACCGACTCTGAAGGTGAAGTCGTTACCACTTCTACCACCTACCCAGTCACCTCATCAGGTGTTCCAGCTCCAGTCACTACTGTTGTATCCTCTGGTAGCCACACCGAAACCGATGTCATCTCTTTCTACACCACTACCGACTCTGAAGGTGAAGTCGTTACCACTTCTACCACCTACCCAGTCACCTCTTCTGGTGTTCCAGCTCCAGTCACTACTGTTGTATCCTCTGGTAGCCACACCGAAACCGACGTCATCTCTTTCTACACCACTACCGACTCTGAAGGTGAAGTCGTTACCACTTCTACCACCTACCCAGTCACCTCATCAGGTGTTCCAGCTCCAGTCACTACTGTTGTATCCTCTGGTAGCCACACCGAAACCGACGTCATCTCTTTCTACACCACTACCGACTCTGAAGGTGAAGTCGTTACCACTTCTACCACCTACCCAGTCACCTCTTCTGGTGTTCCAGCTCCAGTCACTACTGTTGTATCCTCTGGTAGCCACACCGAAACCGATGTCATCTCTTTCTACACCACTACCGACTCTGAAGGTGAAGTCGTTACCACTTCTACCACCTACCCAGTCACCTCTTCTGGTGTTCCAGCTCCAGTCACTACTGTTGTATCCTCTGGTAGCCACACCGAAACCGACGTCATCTCTTTCTACACCACTACCGACTCTGAAGGTGAAGTCGTTACCACTTCTACCACCTACCCAGTCACCTCATCAGGTGTTCCAGCTCCAGTCACTACTGTTGTATCCTCTGGTAGCCACACCGAAACCGATGTCATCTCTTTCTACACCACTACCGACTCTGAAGGTGAAGTCGTTACCACTTCTACCACCTACCCAGTCACCTCATCAGGTGTTCCAGCTCCAGTCACTACTGTTGTATCCTCTGGTAGCTACACCGAAACCGACGTCATCTCTTTCTACACCACTACCGACTCTGAAGGTGAAGTCGTTACCACTTCTACCACCTACCCAGTCACCTCTTCTGGTGTTCCAGCTCCAGTCACTACTGTTGTATCCTCTGGTAGCCACACCGAAACCGACGTCATCTCTTTCTACACCACTACCGACTCTGAAGGTGAAGTCGTTACCACTTCTACCACCTACCCAGTCACCTCATCAGGTGTTCCAGCTCCAGTCACTACTGTTGTATCCTCTGGTAGCCACACCGAAACCGACGTCATCTCTTTCTACACCACTACCGACTCTGAAGGTGAAGTCGTTACCACTTCTACCACCTACCCAGTCACCTCTTCTGGTGTTCCAGCTCCAGTCACTACTGTTGTATCCTCTGGTAGCCACACCGAAACCGATGTCATCTCTTTCTACACCACTACCGACTCTGAAGGTGAAGTCGTTACCACTTCTACCACCTACCCAGTCACCTCTTCTGGTGTTCCAGCTCCAGTCACTACTGTTGTATCCTCTGGTAGCCACACCGAAACCGACGTCATCTCTTTCTACACCACTACCGACTCTGAAGGTGAAGTCGTTACCACTTCTACCACCTACCCAGTCACCTCTTCTGGTGTTCCAGCTCCAGTCACTACTGTTGTATCCTCTGGTAGCCACACCGAAACCGATGTCATCTCTTTCTACACCACTACCGACTCTGAAGGTGAAGTCGTTACCACTTCTACCACCTACCCAGTCACCTCATCAGGTGTTCCAGCTCCAGTCACTACTGTTGTATCCTCTGGTAGCCACACCGAAACCGACGTCATCTCTTTCTACACCACTACCGACTCTGAAGGTGAAGTCGTTACCACTTCTACCACCTACCCAGTCACCTCATCAGGTGTTCCAGCTCCAGTCACTACTGTTGTATCCTCTGGTAGCCACACCGAAACCGATGTCATCTCTTTCTACACCACTACCGACTCTGAAGGTGAAGTCGTTACCACTTCTACCACCTACCCAGTCACCTCTTCTGGTGTTCCAGCTCCAGTCACTACTGTTGTATCCTCTGGTAGCCACACCGAAACCGACGTCATCTCTTTCTACACCACTACCGACTCTGAAGGTGAAGTCGTTACCACTTCTACCACCTACCCAGTCACCTCTTCTGGTGTTCCAGCTCCAGTCACTACAGTTGTATCCTCTGGTAGCCACACCGAAACCGATGTCATCTCTTTCTACACCACTACCGACTCTGAAGGTGAAGTCGTTACCACTTCTACCACCTACCCAGTCACCTCTTCTGGTGTTCCAGCTCCAGTCACTACTGTTGTATCCTCTGGTAGCCACACCGAAACCGATGTCATCTCTTTCTACACCACTACCGACTCTGAAGGTGAAGTCGTTACCACTTCTACCACCTACCCAGTCACCTCTTCTGGTGTTCCAGCTCCAGTCACTACTGTTGTATCCTCTGGTAGCCACACCGAAACCGACGTCATCTCTTTCTACACCACTACCGACTCTGAAGGTGAAGTCGTTACCACTTCTACCACCTACCCAGTCACCTCATCAGGTGTTCCAGCTCCAGTCACTACTGTTGTATCCTCTGGTAGCCACACCGAAACCGACGTCATCTCTTTCTACACCACTACCGACTCTGAAGGTGAAGTCGTTACCACTTCTACCACCTACCCAGTCACCTCTTCTGGTGTTCCAGCTCCAGTCACTACAGTTGTATCCTCTGGTAGCCACACCGAAACCGATGTCATCTCTTTCTACACCACTACCGACTCTGAAGGTGAAGTCGTTACCACTTCTACCACCTACCCAGTCACCTCTTCTGGTGTTCCAGCTCCAGTCACTACTGTTGTATCCTCTGGTAGCCACACCGAAACCGATGTCATCTCTTTCTACACCACTACCGACTCTGAAGGTGAAGTCGTTACCACTTCTACCACCTACCCAGTCACCTCTTCTGGTGTTCCAGCTCCAGTCACTACAGTTGTATCCTCTGGTAGCCACACCGAAACCGATGTC